AAAAACCCCCTTTTTTTACCTAAATTCATTCTTTTAAAGTGTAGGGATGAAGTTTAAAGAGTTGTCACAAGTGTCCTTTCAAAAGGCGTCCAAATACGTTGAATTTCGGCCCATAACCGCCAAAAGTCGGTCCATAGTCGTCCCGGGCGCCGTCGGCAGGCTCGAGGGCGCTGTCAGCGAGCTTTTCTGTCATTTTTTGGTCTTCTCGGGTAAATAGTATTTCAGCCCATAACCGCCAAAAGTCGGTCCATAGTCGTCCCCGACGCCGTCGGCAGGCTCGAGGGCGCTGTCAGCGAGCTTTTCTGTCATTTTTTGGTCTTCTCGGGTAAATCTCGCAGTCGGCGAGCAAGCGCCTTTTTGGGCGCCGTCGGTGCCGTTTTGGGCGCCATCAGCGCCGTTTTGGGCGCCATCAGCGTTGTTTTGGGCGCCGTCGGCGAGAAGACTGTGCAGCTCCACCGTTTCGCTCCGTTTGGCTCCGTTTTAGCTCTGTTTCTCCCCATTTCAGTTGCGTTGTGTTTCTAACAGATAGCTCTACAAAATAAGCATGAAAACAACATTCCTTTAAAGTATAATCTCATTCAAAAATATGCAAGAAGTGTAAAAGAGATTAAGCATCCAAAGACTTATCGGAAGGTAATAGGGCAAAATTTCATTTCTTGCTCGTTTTTGCTCCAAATACACTGTTTTTGTTTTTTTCTCCACAAGTCCATTTCTTGTACCTGAAACCAAAAACATGCAAAAATATATTCCTTTAAAGTGCAATATCATTAAAATTAAACATAAAATAGGTATGAAAATCTCAACATATTTTCCTTTGGTCAGACACGACCCCTGTTTTGCCTCCTAGATTTTCTTAAAAACCTCATAGAGTTGGCCGGAGTTTCTTACATCTGAGTAGGTATTACAGATAGCTGTCCAGAGGGTACTAGCTGAAGGGAGAAACATGTATGAACGACCAATTGACGTTTCCATGGAGTTAATCAACCATAACATGACCATGAAGTTCTCTGTTTCCAAAGCTCCATAAGCCGGATAAGTCTTTGAAGGCTCACAAACCAGACCTGTGAGGTAACCAAACTTCCCAAGTTCTTTGATGAATAACGACACCGCTTGGGACCATTGGAATGCTCCCAAAACTCCATAAGCCGGATAAGTCTTTGAAGGCTCACAAACCAAACCTGTGAGGTAACCAAACTTCCCAAGTTCTTTGATGAATAACGACACCGCTTGGGACCATTGGAAAAAGTTATTGTTGTTCAGTTTATGGATTGTGATTAAGAAATACATGTTGGTTTTCAATCCTCCAGTCTGAAAAGCAGCGGAAATTGAAGTTGATCCTTAGGTGGAATCAAGAACACATTCTGAAAGTGGTTCAAAGTTGGAGGAATTTGCAATAATTCCGACTGAACCAAAAGAGATGTTGAGATTTTGATCCATCGATGAATTCTGGTAGGATTACGACAAAAGAAAACTGCAGGTAGAAGGAAGGCCGGCTGTTTGCTGGAGTCAGCAGCTGCTAGGATCAGCGGCAGGAAGGGATTCACGACATATCTGTGGAAAACGATAAATTTGTGGAAGGAATGAAAACTACAGGAATAATTCATGGCAGATCTGTGGAAGGAATAAAAACTGCAGATTGCTAAGAGAATTTTGCATATTAGAAAAACGGCAAGAAAAAAACAGAATCCCTTCTAGAAGGAAACGACAGATTGTTGGGAGAATTCTGCAGTTTTATCCTGCAGATTGTAAAAAGGCAGGAAGAATCCTGCGGGAAGATTTTTAGGCCAGCTGGAAGGGATGTCGGGATCAGCGGCTGGAAAGTTTGGCCAGGATGGAATATCTAGGGTCTGAGTCATGGCACTGATACCATGTTGAATTGGTGATCAAGGCAGCTTTTTTCTCATTGATACAAAGAGGGCTATTTAAATCCAATACAATTGGCTTAAATAAGGAAAGAAATAAAAACACAATCAAAGAAATAAAATTAGAATAAAGATAAAAAGGAAACAACATAATACAAAATAAGGGGAATTAATAAATATAATGACAATGAAAAGCCAATAAACCTAATAAATCTAATAATTCCACATCTTATTGTTAAAGCAAACAGCAAAAATGTTTGAAGATGGGAAACTCATTTTCTCAGTTTATACCATCCGTTATCTACTAATGAATATGAAATTGTTGAATCATTGAAGTTCAAGCATCTAAAAATGAACCTTAAAAAAAACCTAGCAGAAAGTGAAATCCAAACTTTCAAAATCATTTGCACATATGACTGCAATCATTTGAAAATGTAATTTTTTACTCAATAAGAAATGTTCTTATGAACAAATATTCCGAAGTGTTTATGAAAAAATGGAAAAACACTGAAACATATATAATAGCAAATAAAGGTTAAAAAAATCTGGTTTTCATTTACATGCCTCACGTGTATCATTAGTGACCAACTTCTCGACATTTATCTCTATAATTTGAAGAATTTGTGCTTACGGAACTCATCAAATGACAAGCGGAATACTGCAAAATTAAAAAATTTCATTCGCATAAGTCGAATATGTAATGGTTGAAATTAGCATTTTGTTTGGCATTATGAACCTGGATTCTTGCATAGAAGCCTCTTGCATATATCAATCGAGTCAGAATGAAGACTAGGAAGGATAAGGTCTGAGAAAGGTAATGACGTGCTGTCCCTTATATTTTTTAGAAGCTGAAATATATCATAAGTAGCCTAGTAAATAAAATTAAAAAGGTAGATCGTAAGAAGAATATGAACACTAAGTGAAATGAAGTACCTGAACATTATTCCCACCACGGAAAGGAGGGTATCCATTCAGAAGCTCAAACAAAATAGCCCCAACACTCCACATGTCCGCCTGCTCACCCAATTGCTTAGAAATGCATTAACAAAACAAAACAAACAGCTGTCCTATGCAAAACTGAAGTTGGGACATTTACATACATACCATCCAATTCCTCTGTATCTGCATGTCTAACACCTAAACTTTATTTTTTACATCTACACCACCCAAATCTTTCATATCACATCAAAAATACCACCATTACAACTTTTAAAAAGTGAAATACATCTTTTCATGCATAGGTAATGTGGCATGTATGTAGCATGTATGTAATGTAAAAATTGAAAATTAGGTTTTAGATATGTAAATACATAGGAATTGAGTGGTATGTATGTAGATCTTCCATGGGAGTTACAAATGCAGCAGTCAAACAGAACAAAGGAACCTTATCATCATACTTCTGAAATTGCATGACCTCAGGCGCCATGTATAATGGAGAACCACAAACAGCATCAGCGTATTCACCAGGATGAACAACTCTGACCAACCAAATATTGCATGTAAAACCAAGGAGTAAACCAACAGTACAGCAGTTTACATACCTAGACAAGCCAAAATCTGCAATCTTGAGAATTGCGTCACTTGTAGGAGTAGAAAGAAGTATATTCTGTCAAAAATAGGAGTTCAGTACAACATGAAACAAAAAATAGAAGTTCAGTACAACATGAAACAAAAATCTTTATTCAAGTGGATAATTTAGCAGCAATATTCTGCTCAACCTCAGGTTTTAAGTCCCTGTGGATGATATGGCTAGAATGCAATACATTCAACCCAGATCCTGTCATAGAAAGAAAATTTGCTAGGATGTTATAGCAATGTTTTGGGATGAGCGAAACATAATATATAAAGGGTCATTTACTTTCATGCCACCTCCTGCTATATTTACATATCTAACAGGTAAACATTGCTTTTTTACATCTATTCCACCTAATTTTTCATATCACAATAAAGTACCACTATTTTAACTTTTAAAAAGTGAAATACACATTTTTATTTATAGGTAAGGTGACATATATGTAAAAATTGAAGTTTGGGTGTTGGATATGTAAAAACATAAGAATTAAGTGGTATGTATGTAAATCTTCCATAAATGTAACATGTATTCTTGGAAAACTGAGGTGGAAATACCAAGCTGTATCATAAACTTCCTAACGATATGTTCATGCAGTCTTCCATGCCGCTTAATGTAAGCAGCTAGATCTCCTCCAGCACAGAACTCCAACACAAGAAAAATACATCCATCACCCTGAAATTGTAAGCAACATTCAAATTGAGAATCAGGGCTTAAGATGAAATGCAGCTGACGGTAAACTTGAACAAAAGGTTCTTCAGACATTGAAGGTGGTCATGTGTGACTTTTTTGTAGGAGTGGGTCACCATATGAGTGATTTAATACATTATATATTAGTTCTTGCCTATTAGCTCATTATTTCTTGACTTTTTTTACTTTATTTTGTTTATTCCTTTCCTATTTATTTTATTATGTTTTATTATTTTCCTTTGTTTAGGATTTAGATAACCCTTATTCTATCAATAAAATCATGTTGCTCAAATCACAAATTTGACATGGCATCTAGCCAGGTTCTACCATAGCCGTCGGCTCTAAAAACAGTTTTTTGCAGCTGTCGGTTCCACCTTCAGCAATTCTCCATCAAAGCCTTTCTCCCTATTCGCCATGGATGATTAGGATTCTTCCACGTAGCTCTGTCGCCTACAAATGTTTTAAGGATCGCAATATCGCTAGCTGAAGCTGCAAGCTTATCGTCGATCACAAGTTCTGGAACATTGCAGTCAGGGCACCAACTAGGGTTTGTAGATGGGTTCCTTATAGGCGAGGAAAAGAAGCTGTTTTATCTCGGAGTTGATCCCCTTAAATTCTCAAAAACCTGCCGTGAATTCTGTCTCCCATGAAATCCTATCTCCCGTGAGAAAGCTCCATTTGTGCACTTTAAGCTCCTTTCGTGCATTTTCTTGCAACTTTCCTGCAGGAAAAATTGCTTTTTACTGTTTTCTGCAGCCTTCTTGCACCTATCCTGCTGTGCAGCTTTCTGCAACAGTCTGGCAGGCTTTCTTGGATCTTTTCAACCTGCAGCAGTCCAACAGGCTTTCATGTAGCTTTACTGCACAGCCTTCCTGCAGCTATCCGTCAGCCAAATCCATCAATGTCTCAGATCACAGCCACACTTCTTTTGGTTCAATCGGAATTATTTGGAATCTTGCTCAACCCACATCCATGCATCCACGGACCGGTCACTCCACTTGTGTTTACTGTCACAAACCGACAAGTGTTGGAAACTCCACAATAAGCCGGCTTACAAATCTTAGGCCAAATCGTCTACTAGCAAAAAGTTCCACGGCGACTTTCGAGTCTAACACCGATCAACCGAATACTACCCGGAACCTCCTAGAATGCTCCGAATGCCGAAAAAATCGGATGGAGCAATTATTTAAGCTTCTTAGAGCCCATCAAGTCTCTACAGGTTCGTTGACCTCCCACGTCCAAAAAGGTACTCTTCCTATGGCTTTCATGGTTTATTCTTCATCTAGTCTGTAGATTATTGATTCAGGTGTCATCGATCACATGATTGGATGCTCAAAAGTTCTCGACATACTATTCATGCTTGGGTATTGTCATAATTGTCAACGACTCCTATAGTTTCAATGCTGGTAAAGAGTCAGTTATATTAACAACTGATCTAATTTTGGAATCTGTTTCACATGTTCACCAGTTGCAACGTAACTTGTTATCTGTCAGCAAGTTAATGAATTATAATGATTACATTGCTAATTTCTCTTCTGATGGTTTGGTGGTTGGACTCTACTACTTCCAAGAGAAGAGCACGAAAAATACAGACACACCTCTCAAGGGTTGTAGCTTATCTCGAGTCATTAAATGTTTATTATGTTATTGCATTGTCGTTTAGGTCATTTTAGTTTCTAATATTTAACAAAGTTGTATCCTTAATGTTTTCTAATAAAACCTTTTCTAATTTTCATTGTGAGACATGCCAGTTAGCCAAACATCATCAGGTTTATTATCCATCCCACACTTAACACTCCTTCCACTCATTTCTCCCTCATTCACAGTGACATATGGGGGACCTTCTCGCACTCCCAGCTACAATAAAAGGTGATTCTTGACTTTGATTGATGACCACACACGAATGGATGTGGGTCTACATTTAAAAAACAAATCGGAAGTTGTCACTTTCCAAAACTTATATACCCGTGTTTTAACTAAATTCAATACTCCTATTTAGGTCATTCGGACCGAAAATGATCGTGAATTTTTCAACTCTATTTTGGGTAAATTCTTAGTAAGGACATCCTCCACCATAGCTTTTGTACGGACACTCCTCAACAAAATCGGGTGGTTGAAAGGAAAAATCACCACCTCCTCGACGTTGCTCGCTCAATTATGTTAAAATCCAATGTTCCAAAACATTTTTGGAATGATGTCATTCTCACTGCCGCCTATCTCATAAATAGGGTCTCATCTAAAATTCAGAAGTTTCGAAACCCTTTGGCCGTTGTGATGTCATGCTTCCCTACCAATAATATCATCTCCACATTAGACCCTAAGACTTTTGAGTGCATTGCCTTTGTTAGGAACATTGCACAATCTTAGTATACTTGATTCCAGATCCATAAAATGTATCTTCCTTGGGTACTTTGTACTCAAAAGGGGTATATTTTCCCTGATCTTACCACTGACAAAATCTATGTGAGTACTAATGTATCCTTTTTTGAAAGTGTTACATATTTTCCTAACTCAACCCCAAGTGAGGGGGGCTTGGGTTCTTAGACACCATCTCTTATCCTACTCCTATGGATGTTCCCCCCATTGTTCCCGCTACTAAAGAGACCCTTATCCCGCTGAGTTCCCGGATCCAGTGAGTGCACCATCTCCTCCTCCCACCATTCGTTCTACACTTGGTGCACCTATTCCAATGCTCCTACTCTATAATCCACTACCTCCTTGACCTTGACTCCACTCCGAGAGACATCCTCAGCGTGACCCCTCTGTTGAATGAGGAAGTGAGTTCTCTGAGTAAGGTGTGCAATCAGACATGCTCACTATATTCTATGATAAAATGTCTTTTTCTGCAGTTTACACGGAACTACAAAGCATTTACCACTATCGTGACGGACCATCAGATCCCAGCTACAGTTGAGGTTGCTCTTGCTGATACAGCCTGAAAAACGACAGTGATGGATGAGATGAATGTCCTTCATTGGAACCATACATGGGGACATCATTGATCTTCCTCAGGGTAAAAAAGTTGTGAGGTATCGATGAATTTTTAACACCAAGTTCAACTATCATGGATCATTTGAACGCAACAAGGTATGATTGGCTGCCAAAGGGTACTAACAGACTTACAAAGTTGACTAAGGTGAGACATTTGCTCCAGTGGCTAAGTTAAACACTATCTGAGTCTTGTTGTCCCTTGCAGTGCATCTAGATTGACCTTTATTTCAATTGGATTTCAAGATTGTGTTCTTGAATGAAGAGCTTACATAAGAGGTATACATGTTTGTCTCTACTGACTTTGACTTTACTGCCTCCAAAGGGCAATTGTGCCGGCTGCGACAGTCTTTCTATGGGCTAAAGCGGTCCCCCAGTGCCTGGTTCGACAAGTTCAAAAAGGTGGTCATGGGCAATAATTTTACTCAGGCTCAATCGAATCACTCTCTTCTTCTGGAATTCCTCCAAGAGCATGGTAGCTATCTTTACTGTCTATGTTGACTATATTGTTCTTACAGGTAATGATCTCCCAGCATCTGAGTCCTTGAAAGACATTCCTGGAAATGTAAGATTTAGTATCTCTCCAGTACTTCTAACGCATGAAAGTGGCGTGATCATCTCGGGGCATTTGTCTATCACAGTGCAAATATGTGATTGACCTCTTGAAAGAGAACAATCTTCTTTGCAAATCAGTGGTTGCCCCAATAGATCTCAATGTAAAATTATCTGACATTCTCAATGTTGTGTTTGTCAACAAAACTCACTACCAGCGCCTAGTGGAGAAACTCATCTACTTTGTCATTACTCGCTACGACATATATCATGCAGTTAGTATAGTAGATCAATTCATTCATGACCCTATGAGCACCATCTCCAAGTTGTCCGCCGGATTATTCACTTTTTAAAAGGTACACCAGGCTTAGATTAGTTTTTCTCTCATCACACATCTCAATCTATTATTGTTTATATAGATGTTGATTGGGTCGAATCGGGTCGGTTCATGACCGTCGTTCCACCTTGGGGTAATGCTCATTTGTATGGGGAAATATGGTCACATAGAAAAGAAAAAAAGAATCTATAATTGCTCGGAGCATTGCTGAAGCTGAATTTCAACACATGGCCTTGAGGATTTGTGAAAAACTCTAGCTACACATCATGTTCCATGAACTTCGTATGTCAACCTTCGTTCCGCTGCAGCTATCATGTGATAATAAGGTCGCTATCAGCATTGCTCACACTCCAGTCCAGCATGATTGTACCAAATATGTTGAGATTGACAGACAGTTCATTAAGGAAAAGATCAAATCTGGGGAAACTTCCTCGACCTTTGTTCGACGGTACCAAATCCAAGTTGAACATGATTGACATTCATGCTTCAACTTGAGGGGGAGTATTAAATTTATAACGACAATTAATTGCTAGCCGTTTTTACTTATTATTTCTTGCCTATTAGCTCATTATTTCTTGTCTTTTTAACTTTATTCTGTTTTATTCCTCTCGTACTTATTTTATTTTGTTTTATTTCTTTCCTTTGTTGAGTCTATTGTAATTGGGTTTAAATACCCCTTATTATATCAATAAAATCATGCTGCTCAATTCACAAATTTGGCAATATATATATGATGAGGAGAAAATGATATGAGTAAAACAAGGGTAATTAACAAGAGTTTCCATAGAAAAATAAAAAGTATATAAGCAAGATACTCATAAAGTGAAAGTCTAATGAGCTAAATTCCTAGTTACATCAAAATTACAAAATAGCTCTTTTGGAGCTCTTAGCTTGAAGTATGGTCAAAATTAAGAACATGATAATAACTGTTTTCCAATTCCTGCCTAACATGGAAAATAGAACTTGATACCTGCGATCCACTAAATAGTTGGCAAACTGAGTATTTTCATCTGAGTCATATGCTTATAGAACATCATGATCATCATTGTGTCACAGTTTTGAGGATGAAATGAGTCGCTATGGAAAGTGGCTCAAGATCAATAGAAAT